CAGCGTCTAATAGAAAGGTCTGTTCTCTGGTGTCCTCGCTGTGCTGGATGCTCATTGGCCGATGACTGACTACTGCCAGTTCAGGATTGGTCATTAGAAGAAGGTAGGCGGAGTCCTGTTGCACCTGAGTCAAACAGTATAAAGCTTAAAAAGCAGAAACCCCACGCTCCTCATTTAGTGCTCTGATTGGCTGTGCACTTTCTATCAGGAGGCAGAGTCGTGCTATTTGTCAGCTGTTCTAATTGGCTGGATCAGAGTTAACTGGTCAGTAAATATGGGGGGGGGGGGGGGGCACCACCCTCCTCCCCTCCTGACAGCTGGCGTGACTGGTCAGTAGCGCAGGGTGGGCGGAGCTTTGTGTATCCTGAGTGTCTGAATGGAGGAGAGGATTTTCTTCTGGTGGCCTGCGAGGGTCACGCCCACTCTGAGCAGGTCTCTATGGAAACAGACAAAAAAGAGAAACAAGCTGTTTATTAAATGATACACCAAGTCATATTGTAAACGTATTTGAAAACCTGATGAAACGGTCACATGTATAAGTAATGGTGAGTGCGGTGTATCTCACTCGGTGTTGAGCTGTGAGACGATGTCCAGGCTGGTGAACCCGGCCTGCAGGAAGCTCTGCTCGTATCGCTCCATCTTGATGGCTACACCGAGCCGCAGGCTGACAGGGGAGGGGGCACTCGCAGGTCCAACAGAGGGTGGGACGGGCTGAAAGACAGACAAGATTAATGAGAGTGAGTGAGATGGGGGAGGGAGACTCATCCAAGACCAGATCAGCAGGTCCAGACCTGCGGCTCTTCACTGTAAACATGTGAAAGTTTAATCACACAAACAGACGTCGAGGAGACTTTGAAGCTTTTCTGTAGCAGTGAGTTCATGGAGTGCACAGACTCCTAATCCATGTCACTGATGTTTGACATGGTTTCTTACACATTAAAGGAGCATTCCACTGGTTTAGGATTGCCTTTCCATAAAGCTGCTGGACTGGACACAGACACATTAACCACCAGATGGCTGGAGCATTCTGGTGCACCATGAAACTGAAAACATCACAGGACTGATTCTAGCTGAAGCCCTCACATGTGCCTGGTGTGGGCCAAACTACAAAAACACATTTCCCATAATGCACGTCATGGCTAGCCAGTCTCTGCCCAAAGGTAACACAACCCACCTGCCAACACCTCTGAAGATTGCTAGCATGTTACATCTCGTCTGTTTAAAGCCACAGTGTAAAACAACTAGTCTCCATTTAACAGAGGGGAACTTGTCAGTCTGCTGCTCGGCCAGGACCGGACTCTCTGGTGGCTGTGGAAGCTGCTCGGAGCTAACAAACCATCCGGTACATGATCCTGTGACACCGTGAACCGCTGGCTTACTCTTCACTTTCTGTGCCGTTAAACAAACAAGATGTAACATGTTGGTAGGAACGAACCAGGTGCTGCAGGCCTGGGTTAGGATTTCCTCAGGTTTTATCTTGCAGGAACTGAAAACCTGCATCAAACCAGTGGATGGTTGGTAAGAAACAGGCAGACAGACGGCAGGCAGGCAGGAGATAGACAGGAGGTAGGCAGACAGGAAGCAGGCAGCCAGGCAGGAGGTGGTAGGCAGACAGGCAGCAGGCAGACAGGCAAGAGGTAGACAGGAGGTAGGCAGACAGGAAGCAGGCAGACAGGAAGCAGACAGGCAGCAGACAGGCAGACAGACAGGCAGACAGGAGGCAGACAGACAGCAGGCAAACAGACAGCAGGCAGGAAGCTGCTTCACCCTGAGCTCTGCTCCAGGAACATGAACTGCTCTACACCTGCTCGTGTAAACACCTCTGTCTGTGTAAACAACTGTCAATCAAACAGCTGGCTGCCCTGCCAGCCTTTGTCTCTGACCTTTGACCTCCAAACCCACCAGCTGGTGCATGAATGAAATTCCCCAGCTGTCAATCAAACACTCTCCCTCTCTCCTTAACGAGGTGTGTTCTGGGCCTCACCTCGGTGCCTCTGGGTGCGTCACCTTCAGGGATGCCGGGTTGCGAATCAGCCTATCAAGTGCTGCCACCACGTCGCAGAACCTCGGCCGGTTGGCTCGTTCCTTCTGCCAACAGTCCAACATGAGCTGGTGCAGGGAGGCGGGGCACTCAGGGGGCGGGGGCAGCCGGTAGTCCTGCTCAATGGCGTTAATCACCTGAAGGGGAGAGACAGGTGAGAGAGACAGGTGAGAGAAAGACAGGTGCAGACGGTTACATACAAATGTGTTTTTCAGCTACTAAAAAGGGGAAAACTGTTTTTATATATATATTGTATATGTGTGTGTGTGTGTGTGTGTGTGTGCGTGGAGACATCTATAGACCCGACAATGATCAGTCAATTAACAGAAAAATAATCAATTATTGGCAATTATTTGGGTGATCAATTCATTGATATCAAACCTTTGATAGTTCCATCTTCACCAGCGTGAGGCTGTGGCACGTTTTAATTTAATATATTAACCAATTTCAGTGAGTACATTATGCTGTACACTAAAAACAGTGTTTTAAATGGTTTGTTCAGGTTTAAGAATCGCTGAGGTGCATAACGGCTAAAGAAGCACAGATCGTACCTGTTTCAACTCCTGACTTGTCTTTTATTGGACGCGTGTTTGTAAGTCGACCTATTTTTGTTGCAGCTCCGTTGTTGTGTGGTGGTTTTGCTGTTTCAGGATGAACGGTTGCACTGCACCTCTATAAACTGTTTAATAGGTGTCTGTTACTCACGTCCTGGTTGCTCATGTCCCAGTACGGTCCCTGTTTAATAGGTGTCTGTTACTCACATCCTGGTTGCTCATGTCCCAGTACGGTCGTTCTCCATATGACATCACCTCCCACATGACGATGCCGTAACTCCATATGTCACTGGCTGACGTGAACTTCCTGCAGTCAGTCAATAAAATAATGACTTAACAGTTGGCCGATACTTGCATCCACACTGACGACTACTACTGCAAACCTGCAGTACTGGCACTCACCTGTAGGCGATGGCCTCCGGAGCCGTCCATCGAATGGGAATCTTCCCTCCCTGACAAATGAGACGGAGTCAGTTAATGGAAAGATGCAGCTGGCCAGTAAATCAAGATCTAAGCAGATCGTAAATCCTGGGTCTGTAAAAGTTCTGTAATGTGGACAAAGTTTCCTGCTTTGATGAGCAAACAGCAGCTTGTCACAAAGGGGCTTCTGGGTAATCAGGGAGTAACTCGCTAGTTATCAGCTGACCTACCAGGGAGCTGGTGTATGTCGGGTCCGAAGAGTTTTCAGTCAGGAATCTGCTAAGACCAAAGTCAGACACCTGTAAACGCAACACATACACCTGTTCGACTTGATCCACACTCCGGAGTTTTCAAATTGATGCAGGTAGACGAGTGCGGCGCAGGCAGACTGTCTCACCTTGCAGACCAGGTTGGAGTTGACCAGGATGTTGCGAGCTGCTAGGTCTCGGTGGACAAAGCTCATGTCGGACAGGTACTTCATCCCTGCTGCAATCCCACGCAGCATCCCCACCAGCTGGATGGTGGTGAACTGTCCGTCATTCAGCTGTAGACAGACAAGGCCGACAGACAGACAGATAGCGACAGTGAGATGCGGTTAAACAAAAGGAGGTGGAGCTGTTATTGGGGCCCGTCTCACCCTCAGGAAGCTGTCGAGCGCTCCGTTCTCCATGAACTCGGTGAGGATCATGACAGGACAGGAAGTGGTGATGACACCCTCCAGGTGGATGATGTTGGGGTGCTGGAACTGACCCATGATGGATGCCTCCGACAGGAAGTCCCGCCTCTGCTTCTCCGTGTAGCCGCCCTTCAGAGTCTTGATAGCCACGTAGTTCTCCTTCCTGCCCGGAATCCTCAGCCGACCACGGCACACCTCACCAAACTCACCTGGACGGAGGGTTTGGTCATAAAAATATCGTCTTAATTAAAGAACACACCTGTCCAAACTCACCTGGACAAGTACATTGAGCACTTATCAAGGATACAATTGTTATAACGTACCCAAATATTACGACTCACCTGGACAGGTGAGTCTGACCAGATATGGCTTTTTGATGATATTTTAATAAATATGATTCACAACACTTCACCTGAGTTATGGTCATTAAGTTGCCATCAACATTACCTAATACCCGTGTCCAGACTCACCTGGACAGGTAGGTTAGGAGGTTTTCTTTAGATTTATGACCAGTAACCTGAACATCTGTCCACACCACATCATTAGTTGTTATGATGATTTTCAGCTGTAACAACTGGAGCTATGATGGAAACCGTAGCTGCTGAACTAAAAAAGGTAAATCCTGATGTGGTAGTGATTTTCAAAGAGCCTTAAATCGTGAACTGGACTCAGCAAATCGAACAGGAGAGACTAAAGAGACGAGACACGCAGGAAGTTCATTTAGTTCCCTAAAGAGAGAACGGTAGAGCACCGAGGACCAAACCATGAGGAACCCACATCCAACAGCAGCTAATGAGGTCACACCGTCAATAAAAACAACTTGAGGAGCCAATCAGAGCCCAGCCGAACCACAAACACCAGCCTGGTTCTGATCCAATAAACCAGACTGATGTTTTAATACTGGAGTGGTGTCATGTTGCTTTAAGGCTCATCAGCACATACCAGCACTTCCACACCTCACACAACACTCCCACACAGGTGGGGTGTGCTGGTGTCCAGTTACATCCCATTAATGTCACGGCCAGAGACGACTACTGTTTCACTGGTTACACACAGGTTCAGCCAGTCTCCTGTTTACTTCTAATAAACCAGGATTCATGTTGGAGAACAAGTTAATGTTTTTACAGCATGAACACAGATTCCCCCGACGATGGGAAACAATGTTCTGCCTCTGAGGTCAAAGGTCACAGACTCACCTGGCGGACTTAAATACAGGTTCATGTGTTTTGACTCTACAGAAATGGTTCAGCACTATCAAACTCTCAGTTTTAGGGTTTCCCTGACACTAAAACATCTGATTAAGACTTTAGTCTGTGGATTTCTAGAACAGTTCACCAAGATACTGAGCAGACTCCTGAGTTCCCATAAGTCTCTGCTAAATGTTCCCGTATTCCTGTGTCCTAATAAAATCCTGTCCAGGTTCCTTGGTGCTAAGACATTTCTAAAAAGCCTAGCTGTTATAAATCCATAAGAGGCTCCTTAAAAGGCTTATAAGTCCCACAGACCCTAGACTACAATGGTTCTGAAATCCTCCAGAAGGTTCCCCAAAGGTTCCTGGATTCTGTAAAAGTTCTTCAAAGGGCTTCTCAAGGTTTTTCTTAAAAACATGAAACGGTTCCTAAAAACATTTCTGGGCTGATTAAAGTTTATAAAATTCCTTACAGAGTTACTATACAGATTCCTAGATTCATCTGAAAGGTTCCTGATAGGCGCCCGGACAGCCGAGCGGGTTTGACAGCACAATAGTGTACACGTGCACACTGCCCGTGCACCAACACCAAGGTGTTGCCCCCCTCTCTCTATCCCTGCCTCCCCGTTTCCCATCTGCCTCTTTGCGACCCTCTGCATGATACAGGCCAAAATGTTCCACAGAGATTCTCCACTGAGGTCAAAGGTCACAGACTCACCTGGCAGACTTAAATACAAGTTTGTGTGTTTTGACTCTACAGAAATGGTTCAGCACTATCAAACTCTCAGTTTTAGGGTTTCCATGAAACTAAAACATCTGATTAAGACTGGCAGCTGAGCGGGTTCGACAGCACAATAGTGTACACGAGCACACTGCCCGTGCACCAACACCAAAGTGTTGCCCCCTCTCTCTATCCCTGCCTCCCCGTTTCCCATCTGCCTCTCCACGACCCTCTGCATGATACAGGCCAAAATGTTCCACAGAGATTCTCCACTGATGTAAACAAAGGAGCTGTTTACCAATGTTGTGGGTTCCTAAAAGGTTCTTTATGCCCTAAGTTTGAACCTGGTTACAGCAGACACAGGTGACAGGTGGGTTACCTGCGCCGATCACCTCCTCTATCTTCACGAAGGAGGCGTCGATCTCTTTGGCAAACTCCCTCACTGCCTCGTTGGGGTCCTCGTAGGTAAACGGGTCGATGTACACCTTCATCGCTATGACAACACCACCACACCATCACCATCATTTAAATCATTTAAATCATTGAAACCTGATGAAAACTAAGATCCACTCACTCTGTCCCATCTGGTAGTGTCCGGTCCTGTCGGCGACCTCGGAGCTGTTCTTTCTCCTGCCGATGGACAGACGGGTAACAGTCAGACAGTCAGGTAACAGTCAGACACACAGATGGGTAGCAGTCAGTCAGTCCGGTAACAGTCAGACAGACAGACAGATGTGTAGCAGTCAGTCAGTCGGGTAACAGTCAGACAGACAGACAGTTGGGTAACAGACAGTCAGGTAACCATCCTACAGACACAGACATCCTTTCCCCACACGCCCTCCCCCTCTCCCCCTCTGTCTCTCAGGTATGCCATTATCTGCCGGTATCTCTCCCTCTCTCTCCCT